ATTTAAAAATCGTACATGAAATAGATCCAAATTTCACAATAATCCGATTTCATAATCAGCCGTGACATTTATTTATTATATAGTATATAATAAACTATGTGTACATTTCGCTTGATATTTATTATATCAATATTTATATATTATATTTCATTGTAGTGATTATTTTTTTGACCCTCATATATTCAAGCATACCCAATTCATACCACGTTTTCAAACAAAGGCTTGCGCCAACATTTTCTATATGGTTCAAAATTCGGTTTACTAATACTTCTTATTAATTCATTCACTTATCCAGATGATTACGTTTAAAATGCATTTTTATCATAGAAAGACCTGTATTCATTGAAGAGGCTCGATTGCAATGTTTGCAATATTACTTGCCGCCACTTTCAACAAGCTCATCCCAGAAGGAATCAGTTTTAAATCGTTTTGAGGGACTGTTTGTTGTGTATGCTGTGATGATGTTAAAATAGATGTGGAGGTAAGTTTCATTTATTTTATTAGGTTGTTCGAGTGTGCTTTCTTCGTTCATCATAAGAAAGAAAAAAATGTTACATGTGAAGATAAAAGAAAAAAAAATGTTATAAAGAAAAAATGTTACGCGTGAAGATAAAAGAAAAAAAATGTTGCGTGTGAAGATAAAAAAAAAAAGTTACGTATTTATAGTAATTGAAAATGCTTCTACAAGGAGATACATTTTTTTAAAAAAAAAGCATAACTTTTTATTAAAAAATAATGCGAATCTCATTTACATCATTTACATCATGGAAATTAAAAAAAATTAAATTACAAATCATGAAACATTTTGCTTAAGAAATCGATTTCGAACCCGATTTGAGCACTATGAGCAGTATTGAGTTTAAAAGTTCCTAATTAAAATAACGTGATTACAGAAACACGTGTTTAACGGGTTTGAGCTTGGACAAGCAGGATAACATCCCTAGATATTATAATAAGTTGCAGGAAATGGTTATGATTGTACGATGATGGATGATGCTGGGCTGGTGTATTAATTTCAAAACCTCAAATGTTACACACCCAGCATGTCATATCGATATCTAGCTTATACAACTCCAACTGCTAATTATTTAGCTCACAAATCACGAGAATGTCACCGACTTTACTTGACCAAAGAAGACATGATGTCACCGTATCCGAGCACTTGTTTAATCTGCAAAGCAACTATCTCAAGGCTCGCAAAGAAACCGAAAACTATGTTCAAGTTTATTCCCGCTGGAATATGCCTGCTGCTGCTGCTCTACTCGAATCGGAAGGTATCACCGTTAATGACAGACCAACCGAAAGTCATGGCCACGGTGCTTCTAAAACCATTGAAGAGTATATCAATGTCGTTGTTATTCGCCTTTTGTTCACCGAGAACTTTACCGTATTTGGCAACGTGATAACAAATGCCAACTCCTTGCTAATTGCACCTGCAAAGAGATAACCTCTGCTAACATCATTATAGATGCTAATGATGTAATCCGCTACACTGACGCTCTACCCTCTTTACCCGCTGTAGAGACCAGGCAGCTATATATAGCTGACGCCGGACACTATCTTAACCCTTTCGATATCTATACCATATTCCGAGACAGCCCCACCCGAACTCTTGGACGATCAGCCTCCACTATTCCCATCCTTATACACATTCAAACAGCTTAACGCCCAAGATTTTGAATTCTACCCCGACGGAAATGTAAATGGAATGTACACCAAACCCTTGTCTTGCAAACGGATTAACTTTGACTATTAAACGTCTAACTTCTTACTTCGCCCATCACATAAGTAATAGTTATATCCTGGGCAGTTGGGTATAAGCGGGGCTGAAAGTCCCGCTTATCACATAGTGCCCAGGGTATAACTGATTTATGCCCTACGATCTTGATATAGTGACCAAGGTATAATAATCGTTACCAGGTTACCACCCAAGTAAACTCCTTCAATTTTCCAGGTAGAGTAGAGATCACAAAGGCCATATATAGTGCATTATTATACGGTCAAATTCCTGAGTTAGCTATAGAATATGTTATTAGAGATCGGAACCAGTTAGAATTTTAAAAATTAAGATGAGATTCGATTTTATTTTGTCAATGATTACTTATCGAACGCAATTACATATGAAAATCGATAAAAAATATTTATTAATCTTAAATTTGCTTCAGTGATTTAAATATATACAGTATATATTTCTAATCATGATGCAATAATTACATATTTAATAATTACAATTTTTATTTATTATACGTATATTTTACATATATATATATATATATATATATATATATATATCAAAGGCTTTAAATTTTAAGTTATTATTATCTACAAAAAAATAATAATAAATATTATTAAATAACCGTATCGGTACGTAATCAATTTAGCCCATCTCTATTTCAAATCAAAATTTAAAGATCAGATGAAAGTTGTATCTGATTAAATTTAATTGGTGAAACCGCGATTACCGTATTTTGTGGATTAAAGTACCTGTGTAATACCGATACAAATTTTTTTACAAATAAAAAATTAAATATCACAATTAACACACTTCACATCCGTATACATCATTCGCACGAAGGGTACTTTAATCACAAATTACGCTATATGGACGGTCCTGTAGCGATCCATGGACCGCAGTCCCATCCAGTCTCTAGTAACTATGTAACCGTAATTAAAATAATTTGATTATTATTATATATAGCTGTTTTCAAAAAGGTGTAAATAACTATATCACGAGAAATTCAAATTCTTCGATTCCCCACATAGGTATGTGGAAATCGTTGTTCACACCTTTTTGAAAACAGCTGTAAGCAAAAATCAAAATCGATTAGATATACCGTAGCGCACTGAGCAAAAGACCCGGGGTCTAATACAAAATACCCGTCAAAAAACTTACAAAAGACCCGGGTATATTATACAGCAGCGGGTCTGTGTCGCAAAGAAAAAAATTTTCAAGTACATACATATTCCGCATTTACAATAAGTAGTCTAGAAATTTAAAAAACCCCACATTTAATTAATAGAGATATCGTGATTTGCGCCAGGGTATCTTGCATGGGGGGTACTCAAGAAGGGGGTCTTTTGCTCAGTGCTCTACGGTATATATATTGGGAAACCGGAAAATTATTTATGCTAAAATTATTGTAAAATATGAATAATTTAAGGGAATTATTTTTTATACCCCTATTCGTACCCCCCTGCAGATTTAACTTTTTTTTAAACTTTGAGCGAAGATATCTATATAATTACCAAGCCAAATTCAATAAATTATTTTTTATTTAAATTCTACAGTTCATAGGATTCAAACAAAAAAAAAGTTCATCGAATTTGGCCTGGTAGTTGCAGAGATATCTTCACTTAAAGTTTAAAAAAAATCAAACGTCTATCAAAACAAACTAGAAAATTTTCTTTAAACTTTGAGAGAAGATATCTCAGCAACTTTCTGGGTCAAATTTGATGAACTTTTTTCTGCTTGAATGCTATGAACCTGTAGAATTCAAATAAAAAAAAATTTATTGAAATTGACTTAGTGATTGTCGAGATATCTTTACTCAAAGTTTTAAAAAAAATTCAAAACGTCTATCAAAACAAGCTGCGCCAAAATTTTTTCTAAACTTTGAGCAAAAATATCTCGACAACCACCAAGCCAAATTCGATGAACTTTTTTTTGTTTAAATTCTATGAATTCATAGAATTTAAATAAAAAAAAGTTCATCGAATTTGACTTGGTGGTTGTTGAGATATTTTTGCTCAAAATCAGCTTCTGTTTTGATAGACGTTTTGAATTTTTTTTAAAACTTTGAGTAAAGATATCTCGACAATCACCAAGTCAATTTCAATAAATTTTTTTTTTTTCAAACAAAAAAAAGTTCATCAAATTTGGCCTGGTAGTTGCAGAGATATCTTCGCGTATTGGTTGGTGCTGATATTAGTGATTAATCCATGCTTTCTTCAAGAGAATTGAATCATCGTTCGTTAAAATATTGGCAGTAATATAAAAAAAATTCGAATTTGTTTAATTATAAGGATGTTCGAAGCAAATAATGATTTTGATTTGTAATTAAATTAGTAGTGGAATGTAAAACTTCTACGTAATAATAATGAATTTATTGCGAAAATATATGATTAAATTAGGGAATTATTTTTTATACCCCCAGATTTATTATTCATACCCCTGCAGATTTAATCTTTTTTTAAAATTTGAGCGAAGATATCTATATAACTACCAAGCCAAAATTCAATAAATTTTTTTTATTTGAATTCTACAGGTTCATAGGATTCAAACAAAAACAAGTTCATCGAATT